CCCAAATCATGATACAGACCCACCGGACCGTCAAATACGAATCCGAGTCCGTTTGCTCAAAACGTTAACCAAAGTTAACTCAAATGATTTCCAAAGCAAAAAATTTCATATTTTTCACAGTTTTTAACATAAAAGCTTTTCAGATACATGCCTGGACTACGCACGCAAAACGAGGAGGGTTAAAATGAGGTATTTAAAGCTTCGAAGCGCAGAGTTAGGTTCAAAAATATAAGATGACCTATCGGGTCATCACAATTTGGAAGTTGATTTTTCGAGTTTTCTTCATTTCCATGCGCTTAAAAGATATTGTATCACGCTCTTTGTCACATCAACATCTAAGTGATTCAAGACTATTAAGAAAGTATTAAAGACCATGTAAAATTTAAGTGTAAACTAAATAAAAATTATCAAGTTTACAACTTGTTTGGATGGTTGTTACCTATCGTATCGTATCGTATTGTTACTTTAAATACAATGTTTGTTTTGATTGTTACTTAAATTTTATTGTATCGTATCGTTAAATCCGTCGTTACGTAACGATGAAATGTGCCACTTTATGTAACGACCGATTTGGTGTGGTCGCGTCGTTTCCTTGTGTTTTTCTCTCAATCTCACCCTTCATTATTATTAAATAATTTTATTTTATCATTTACCCTACCTTTTTATATACCGTATCATAATTTTTCTTTATAATATTGCAAGTTTATTCATGATATCACAGGTGCGTGATACCATGAAACGACGCCAAAACGACACAATCCATCCAAACATTGTATTCATCAAACGATACAATACAATACAATATAATACAATACGATAAATTATGAACAATACGTAACAACCATCCAAACAAGCTGTTAGAGGGTCCGAACATTTCTGCCCAAAGCTGGGATTGTTATCTTACGTGTTTTGATTACTGCAAATGTAGAATAGACAATATAAGAAAAAGGAAAATAGAACAAAGTGATCTTATAAAGAATAGACAAGAAAGTCATTCTTTTCATCATGAGAATTATTACTACATCGGTTTGTATATAAAGCTTTAGAAAATTTTGTATCTTTTTTGTTTCCG